AAGATAAACACACATCCGCAGAAAGGCTTTCTAGCTCAAATCCCAACTTTGGTTGTTATTTTGTGCTATTAATAGCCCTGAAATGTGTTGTGGGTCCCCCCGCCTCCCCCAATCCTCCAGGCAGCCTCTGGGTCATCAAGAACTATCATAAAGTACATAACTCAGTTTTGGTAATTGAGTTGATTACAAAGAACAAGTTTCCATGCAGAATTTTATTCTTCTTAATTAACTAAAATGACCCTTTTGTAATATGTATGACATTCTCAACCAGTCTTCTGCCAAATTTTGATTAATGTGTACAATGTATTCTTGCCATAACAGAGTACATATACTATTTATTATGTGCTATAAGGAGCACTGACCTGAATACCCAGCAAGAACAAGGGCCATTATTCTATGCCTAGGAGATGTTTCCTGGCACTTGAGACTTGAACTGTGAGAACACAGCCAGGGCAGTATTCATTTCACTCCAACACAATCACTTTTCTAAGTGTGGTGACTATGCATGCTTTTGCATTATAAACCACTGTGATAATCTAGTAGAGATTATATTATAATTATTGTTGGCTTGTTGGGAATATGTTCATAATATGCAGTGATCTCAGAGAGGTAGAGCTCCATAGATACAGTGGATAGAAATTAAGGATGAGGAGTGAAAAGGACGTATATCCAAGAAATTTACCCGTGTTTTAAAATAGGCCGTACTACCCATGGTATTTGTCAATATTGGCATGTAGAATCATTCTTTCTTGATGTGAATTTGCTCTTTTAAAATGAGCTAAAGCTGTTTCCTGATGGAAAAAAGATCCCTTCGTGTGCCTAACAGCACTTTATTCTAGGAAAGACTGAAATGATGTGTGTGTTTGGGTGTTACCCCTGTGATCTGAGACGTATTCTAATGTTGATGCACCCTTTGGCCTCCAGTTTAGGAGTTTGGGATCAACCCACTCAACCTTGCAGCAGGCTTTCCTAGATGAACAGTGAAAGTTGGGTGAGGGCATTTACAACTGGTAAAGCTTTACAGCCATTGTGGTGAGCAGGAAAGAGAATATGCTTCAGAACCATTTAAGACTTGGGTTGAAATCCTAACACTGCTATTTATTTCCTGTGGGGAAAAAATTAAACTAAGAGGATAACAACTTCTCAGTAAAATGAAACTAATTATACCCACTCAATAAGTATTTCATATGTAACATTTGTAAAGCCATAGCATAGTATCTCCTGGATGTGGAAGATATTTGCTGCACCAGTGAATGGAGAAGAGAACCGAAACCCATCAAGAATGAGAATACTCCCTGCAGGGAAAGCAGAGTAGACCTAAGAGCTTGACGTTAGCAACGTGCTCTCTCAGGAAGTGGAATAGTGGAGAGCTTCAGTTCGGAGGTCAGAACTTAAGTTGCTTAGGTTTGAATTCTGCTTCCATCTTTTCCTCAGTTGTGTAACACTGAGCAGAGAGCTTGACTTTTAATCTCAATTTTCTCACCTTTAAAGGTTGTGCAAGTAATGTCTATTCTGTGGGACTGGAGATGGAAGTTAAATTGAGATAATGAATGTAACACAATAAACATTCAATAATATTTGCCATACATATGTGCTTTTTCAGAGTAAAGCCAGAAAATAATGGTTCATTGCTACTTTGTAGCCAGAGAGCATGATTTGGGATAGTATTAGAATATTTAACCCTAAATTTTTCTTTGGATTGTACTTGGTACATTATACAGATGCTTTTTATGAGTTTCAGTTTATCATGGTTTTTGTTTATATTGGCCCTTCTATGAAGTTTACATTACTGAACTGACTTGTATAAATAAAAGATCTGAAACATAAGTGTAAGTTCTATGCTGAATCACCATATTTATTTTGTCATGTGAATAGAAGAGTAGAAATCCTAATTCCTTGGCAAACCCATTTTAAAAATAGGTTCCACAATAATTTACTTAACACCCTGCACAAAGTAAAATGTCACCCAGAAGGGATAACTGGTCAACCCAATGTAAACCAGGTCTTCAATCTCATGGTCTGTTTTATTAAAATGTTAGCAAGTTTAACAGGACTAAAGGATAAAATTCAGAAAAAGCTAAATATGAGGCATCAAATAACTATGACAATTTGTAGAATAGAGCAATAATGGAATGGATCCGGCCAATGGCGGTTTTAATTTTTATTTTCACTTTTAAGCAGTGTCGAGTGCTAGTCGAAGCTAAGATGAGTGACACTTAGGGAAAGGAAAAACATCCCCTTGAATGTCTTTAAAATCTATAATAATAATATAATAATACAAAGTGCATCTGGGCATTGCCTTCTGCTGCCGTTCTTGTCTGGCTCTCATCCAGAACTTGTCAGGCTACTCTTGAGTGCTGATGATTCATAGCCCAGCACCCTTTTATCTGAACGTAGCAGTGGCTTTTCTTTGTACTTTGGCAGTGATGTTACCTTGATGTTCAAAAATCTTTTAAAAGCAGCACAGACTTTGCTTGCATCTTGACAAATCGTTGTCTTCCAGTAATGAAGAAAAATAAACTTGGTTCTGTGATCATTGTAAATATACACAAATAGATACTTCCTTTTTTTTTTTTTTGGTTTGTTTTTTAAAAGTTGTTAGTATTTTGAGATCTTCTCACTGAAAAGTAATCTGATCATCTTTTCTAATTTCCCCTGTATAAAGCAGCATGCTGATTTTCAAAAGTATGGATCAAATGGAGTTTTTTTTAGACCATTTGATATTTGAGGACAGATTTAGGATTTTTAACAAGGGAAACATAAGGATATTTTTATTTGTGTTATATGCTCTTACTGATGTTTAAAAGTTAATAGTTTATTATTACCCATTTGTTTTTGTTTTGTTTATTAACTTCACCCAAGGAAAATTTTTCCATTGATCTTCAAAGAGAGTGGAAAGGGGGAGGGAAAGAGAAAGAGAGGGAAAAAAAAAAGTGATGTGAGAGAGACACATTGATTAGCTGCCTGCTGCATGCATTTTGACCAGGGCTGCGGATTGAAACTGCTTGACTGGGAATTGAATCTGTGACCCTTTAGTGTGAGGGCCGACACTCTAACCACTGAGTAACATCAGCCAGGACTATTATTACCCATTTGAATATGCTTTAATCTATCCTGATGGTAATAACAGTGCTTCATATCCACATGGCGCTTTTCATACATTTCCTCATCCGAGACCCGAAGCAGCCATGTGAGGGTAGCAAGGCAGATTCTTACTATTATCCCAGATTACATAGGAGGAAACCGAGGCTCAGGATGGTGTCTGACTCTCCCACTCAACCTGCAGCAGAAACCAGTGCCTAAGATGGGTCTACTCACTTAAAACTAGTGCCTCCACTTTTATCATGTTGTATTTCAGAAGAATCTCGACTTTGTCAATGAAGATTTAGCATCTGGAGTGAAGGTGGTAGTATTTCTACAGGATTGAACATTGGTCACAACAGCCTGTGGAAGGTCTTTGTTACATTTGGGTATTTTAAGGAGAGCCCTGGGAAACTGGAGGACATGAGTGTCAATAAACTAGAATGTGAGGAGCCTGGGAACTATACCAGAAATAACCAAAGGAATCAGGATTTTCGAGGCTGGAGAAAGGAGGTTACAGAGTGATATAAATGACATCTCCAGGTGTTTTATGGACTACCTGGTGGAAGAAGAATTCGATTTGTTCTTGTAATTTCAGGCAGCAGAAGTAGGATCACTGGATAGAAATTATACAGAAGCCCATTTATACTCAATATAAGAGGAGACTTTCTAACATTTGGAGATGTCCAAAAATGGAATAGACTAGCTCACCCTCACTGGGAAGTGTTCACACTGAGACTGTCTGACTTCAAGATTATATGACTTTATGGGTGTTGTATTTCAGCAGTAACACAGTTTTATGATGAAATTTGTAAGAGCTCAGAGAATTTCCTCACTAGGTAAAAACAGTTTTTTTCCCCTAGTTTTTCCACCCTGGTTTTAGAAAAGTGTAAGATGTACCCATAACAGTTCCTGTTTTACACATTACTGGGTCCTGAGAAATACCGTCCAGTTGATGGGAAAGGCATATTAGTTAAAACAGATAAGCAGTACTTTTGTTAGGTAAGATTTGGAGCAGACAGTGTGTTGTGTGCAGTGGTGTGTGTTTGTGTGCACACACATGTGCGTGTGTGCATTTTAACTATTTCGGGATGAAGTAGCCCTGGTTTTTGTTCTTTTCACCTGGCTTGTTACTTTCTCTACTCGTCAGTCCAGCCCTAGAACAAGACCTATGCGATTAAAAGAAATGGCCAGAAAATCATTCCAATGAGATGGTTTCAGTTTTCTTATTATAGAAAGGGACAGGGCATCAGAAAAAGAGATGGACTAAAATAAGTTTGTGACCTACACAGATTGACTAAGGGAAGCACCTAACTGGAATCAGAAGTCTGCATTCCAGGTCTAGCTGTCACTCACAGCTTCACCCTTATGCCCTAGGTTTTCCTTCCTCTAAAGTGTACATGTTGTTCTAGTTTTCATTCCTGCTTTTAAATCTTACGATTCCAGTTCTTTCAATTTGATGGCTCTAATTCTCTCAGTTTGCATAGAAAATTGAGAATGGTCTCAATTATAACAAAAAACAATTCAGTCATTTATTTGTTCTTTAAATTATTCATTTATTCAAAAATATTTAGTAAATGAAACACTACTTTAGAAATAAAACTTTGCTTCAGTGTATGTGATGTTCAGAATGAAAGGAAAACAGCACATCGGTATCTTTGATGCTTAAAATGAATGTGAAGGATTCCATTAGGAGGATATTTTAAAACAAAAATAATAGAATTTCTCTGTAACACGGCTTGTCGTGTCTTTGATTTTGAACAGTAACATTTCAAACCAGGCCACGAATCACAATGGCATGCGACAAAAACAAGTTATAATAAATCTTTTAGTCCTGGCCTCATTACAGGTTCAACCTCTGGTTCCAAACAGAAAGCTTTTCCGGTATGAATAATGTCCGCTTTTCCTTCTTCCCATAGATTCCAGAGGGGTGACTACCACATTGACGTCTGCATCAATGACTACCTGGATGTGTTCTGCCCTCACTACGAGGACTCGGTCCCGGAAGACAAGACGGAGCGTTATGTCCTCTACATGGTGAACTTTGATGGCTACAGTGCCTGTGACCACACTTCCAAAGGGTTCAAGAGATGGGAATGTAACCGGCCTCACTCTCCAAATGGACCACTGAAGTTCTCTGAGAAATTCCAGCTCTTCACGCCCTTTTCTCTAGGATTTGAGTTCAGGCCAGGCCGGGAATATTTCTATATCTGTGAGTATATGCAGATCTCTCATGTTGTGGGGGAGCTGGGGGAATCCGGAGTAATTTTTTACCCGTGTTCCAGAGAATTGCAGCGAGCGGGACTCTGCATCACAGATGTCTCCTCGCAAATGCATACATCAGGGTCCCCAGACACATTAGCTGGGAATTGAGAGCACAGATTAGATTAAAGGCACCGTGCCTCTCCCCCTGTTCGGTGAACCACTGCTGACTTGTATTTCTTTTAAATGAAAATTGCTAGGACTTCTCCAAAGCTGAGGAAAAGAAAAAGAGATTCCTGAAAGAAAAAAAAAATAATGGAAATAATTAAATTTACATAGCTTAGAGTCACTGAATTTCTTATTCAGGTGTCAGCAATATCTTTTCAATCATCCACATTTTCAGTGGAGAAAGCTAAAACTCCTGCAAATGTCAGCATGCTGACGATAAATACTCTCTTTGCACCGAGGAGAAAAGACAATTATTAAGAGCAGCTGTGGTTTTAAACAGGCAAGAGCATGACGAAGGATCTAGGAGGGGTTCCCAGGGAGCTGGTGTAAGTGCGTTTCCCACCTGTGAGCATGGGGGACCCTGTGCTGAGAGAGCTCTATGCTTCCTGCGTGGACCTCTGCTGTAACCACATGGCCATGGCCTCTGTTTCCACGTCATGTACACCATCACTTCTTTAGTCCTCAGACTAGTCATAGATTCCAAACCTCTGTGCATGAGTTGTGGGATCATGTTATAATGCAGATTCTGGCTCTGGGGTCCGAGATTCAGTGTTTATAAAGCTCCTGGGTGGTGATGCTGCTGGTCCACAGATCACACCTTGAGTTAGCAAGGTTACAGGTCCTACCTAATTTAGGTAGCTTGCTGGGTCTCTATCTGGACTTTCCTTGAATGAATATCAAATGTGTAAGCAATTTGGCCCTTCCCACCTGTTTTCACTGTCAGCTAAACGAATTAAATGTTTTTTTTAAAGTATACTTATTGAATAGAGGATCCTGTCGGAAGTGTTGGGGGACATGAGATGGAAAGACACTCCCTGTCCTCGAGGACTGTCTAGCCGGGAGCAGACATGTCCATAGGCAGTTAAAGTGTAAACAGACAATTGCTGAGTCAAGATGAATGCAGGGAGCAGTGGGCCCTGGTGGAGGACGTACCTCACCTGCCCGAAGAAGCAGGACACGCAGCTGCACACGTGTGTAGAGGTCCAAGCTATACCACCCAGTGTGCTTAGCATGACTTTCCACCCCACCTGCCAGACCAACACGATGAAGAACATTCCTGTGCTGACTCATGGCTTCAGTTCCAGTGTCCCCACCTACCCTTAACCCACATGCTTTAGGTCTAGAAGGATTTCTAGCTCCCTTCTTCAGAAAACAGAATTTTATAATAAGCCCGATTTCATCATCACAAGAGCACTCTCGCTTATATTGGAATTGAATTTAAAAAGGAAATTGAACAGTACCCGTTTTATTATTTCAGTGCATATTTCAGTCGTTAGTCATGAGAAAACATGCGAAAGCCTTGATACGATCTCACGTTCGATCCATAAAGGAAGAAAAGGAATATTGAGTCCCACGGCTGGAGGAAACGCGGGCACAGTGAGCTCACACGTTCTCAGGCAGCCGGCTCTTGCCCTTGGCTGATTTTTTTTTACTTTGTGAAAGAATCTCATTTGGCAAATGAACAAAAGGAAAGAGAAAGACTTCAGTGTGGGACAGCAACTCATTAATTGTCTCACTCTAAAATATTATACCGACACAGGAGGAAATCATCGCATTTCCAAGTTTTGATATTGGTTTCTCAGGCTGCAAAAACAAGAAGAGCAAAACCCAGAAATGAACAGAGAGCACTATGATGGGAAACATACTCACCAGCTAACTGGTTGATTGCATGATTATTAAAAATTATAGAATCCATTGAGGTTCATAAGCAAGATGTTATTATTCAAATATACCCATAGTGCTTATGACTCGTTTTTTCCTCATTTATGGTTAAATTCAATATTTCACTAAAAACCATTATGTGTCTTCTATAACATTCATTTAACGGAGTCATTTAACTGTCAAGGGTTCCTGTCAAAGTAATTGTTCCAAAATGCTTCAAAATATCAAGAGCTTTTTGCTGTTCAGCTGAGTTTAACCTGAATTACATTTTTTAATGAAAGGTAAAATAGCACAAAATGAGCAGTGAGGAGATGCTCATTTATAAGAAGCAAGCACAGTGGCCTGTAGTCAGTTAAATTGAAAGTTGAACCGTGTACCCTCCCCTGTGTTAGTGGCGGAGGGGTTTCCTCTCTCCCTGCACAGAGCTGGAGTGGCCCGCTCCTGTGGACGTCTTAAAGACGTTTAATATGCCGTGGTCATAATTAAACTAAAGAATTCCTAGAGGAGACTTGGCCCTCAGTTGAATTCTTCTCTCTCCTAACATGTGTGGAAGGAACCAGATGATTGGGAAGTAGCTCGTCTCACACTTACTATGTCACCAGAAGATCCGTTGCTCATCTCGGGAACAGGCTGACTGCCCCCCGGTCGGTTTTATAAAATGTTCTTACTAGGCCGGGGGTCTAGTTCAGCTCTTCACGGCCTTAAAATCTCTTCCACGTTTGCCAAGAGAAACAGGAAAGCTGTTGCCCAAGGCAGGCGGTCCTGCTCTGGGGCGCTGGAGGCAGCGTTACATTTGGTGGCGCCTGAACCGGTTGGAATGTACACTGGGATTTGTGGGGAGAGGAGTAGTTCACCAAAGGATGTCCACCTCCTCATCACACCAGGACGCAAACCGGAGCGTTCTCATCAAGGTCAGCTTGATCCTCCACGAGATTCACTTCTCGTTCCAATGCGGTCTGCACGACTAAGAAATACAGTAGTTGGGAATATCTCATGAAGTTTCCAATTTACTTTAAAAATAAAATAATCTTGCCCTGGCTGCTTTGGCTCAGCAGTTAGAGCATCGGCCTGCAGACCAGAGAGGCCCAGGTTCGGTTCCCGCTAAGGGCACGTACCTCGGTCCCAGTTTGTCCCCAGCCCCAGTTGGGGTCCTGTGGGTGGCAACCACTGGAGGTGTCTCTCTCACATTGATGTTTCTTGCTCTCTCTTCCTCCCCTCCCCCTACTGCTCTATCTGCAGATAAATGCAAAAATGTCCTAGGGTGAGAAAAAAAAAAAGTATATATATGAATATATATATATTCTTGCCCTGGCTGGTTTGGCTCATTGGTTACAGCACTGGCCCGCAGACCAGAGTCTCAGGTTCAATTCTGGTCAAGGGCACGTACCTCTGTTGCAGTTCAGTTCCCAGCCCTGGTTGGGGTTATGCGGGATGCAACCAATTGATGTGTCTCTTTCACATCAATGTTTTTCTCTCTCTCCCACCCTTCCTCACACTCTATCTGAAAATCAATGGAAAAATATCCTTGAGTGATAATTTTAAAAATAATAATAAAATATTCTTTACATTTCTAGATTTTTTATTTGTCCCAAAATGACTCTATGCTATATCCTCCTTTCCTTGGGAACAGGCAATATATTGTGTTGTTATAATAACTGATTATTGCTAAGGCAGACTGAGCCCATTCTCAAATCTGACATAGACTGTTTTTAATCAACAGGAGTTATTTGGGTAAATGATTGGCATACTAAATTAGAGAAAGGTGGTGGTATGTCTATCAGTGATAGATTTGCAGAACTGCTGCCCACCAATAGGTTATGGCAATAGTCATAGACTTCCTAAGGCAAAGAGTTATTTTAGAAACTTCAAAAATACTCATTTTAGAAATGATTCTCATAAACATTAACCTATGAGAAGAGGTTTGAAAGAAGTTTTGCTGTTGCTGTTTTTAAATTAGAAGAGGCAAATGAAAATAACTTAAATAAGGCACAATAAACCCTGGCCGGTTTGACTCAGTGGTTAGAGCATTGGCCCGTGGACCAGAGAGTCTTGGGTTCAGTTCCCACTAAGGGCACGTACCTTGGTTGCAGTCTGTCCCCGGCCCTGGTTGGGGTTGTATGGGTGGCAACCGATCAATGGTCGATGTGTCTCTCTCACATCGATGTTTCTCCCTCCCTCCCTCCCACTCTATCTGAAGATAAATGCAAAAATGTCCTCAGGTGAGGATTAAATAAATAAGGCACAATAAGTTTTTTTTGTTTTTTGTTTTTTTTTATCCTCACCGGAGGATATTTTTCCATTTTTTGTACAGATAGAGTGGGAGGGAGGGAGAGAGAGAAACATCGACGTGAAGGGACACATCGAGTGGCTGCCACCCGCAGACCAACCAGGGCCCGGGACAAACTGTAACGGAAGTACATGCCCTTAGCGGGAACCGAACCAGGGTCTCTCCGGACCACAGGCCGACTCTCTAACCGCTGAGCCAAACTGGCCAGGGCAATAAGTTGTTTTTGTAAGTCAGAAGAAACACCGATTTTGAATGTCCTCCTTTGTAAGTAAAATAACCTGAGTCCTGGGTCCTTCTCTTGACTTAACTCCATTTTACCAAAGGGTCTGCACCACTAGAGTACAAAAGGACATCTGTAAGATGGCCCAGCCTAATGCCTTTTCCTTACTTAGTAGGTGTTCAGTAAACACCAGTTAAAGGGATATCATTAGGGAAATGCAGAGCAGAGAGACCTATTTGGTATCGGAAGTATAAAAGCCCTGCCACCCTGTTTAAACCAGCGTTACCTGTGGCTCCACTAGTGCAGCGACACCTGTCTGTTATCCTCACTGGAGTCACCATCTCCAAGCCCTCCAGTGACTGACTTCCTGTCTCACCAAGACAGAATCCAAAGTCTCTGACCTGGCCAGCAAGGTTCTCCTTGGCAGGTACTCCTCTCCCCCACCTTCGGCCTCTTGGACTTCTCTTACCACTCCCTCCGCCCTGTTGTCTCTGCTCCAGCGCCTGCCTCCTCCTTGTTCCGCATACCTGTCCGCACCCCGGACAGCAGGCCTTGGTACTTCCTCGTCTGTCTGCCTGGGGACCTCGCTGCTCCAGGCATCCTTGTCCTCGGC